GGCATCGATCATAAGCAAAACTGAACTTGATCTTTCTGTAACCATTATCTCAATTCCACAGCAACTGCAGATATGCTTGTCGTGGTTCATAATTCAGTTATGCCATTCAAATTTTGTTGAGAATATACCTCGAGCTGCTTGGTTCCATGTTGGATCAAATGTATGCCTGATTCGTTTTGATGTCGATTCGATTTGAAGGTATATCGAGCAAAAGAAAGAATTGACGAAGAATTTGCCCGATCGGACGACGATACTGAGCCGCCCATTCAAGAAGCGAAAGAAGTTAAAGATGATGAAATCAATAAGGAAGATACCAAGCCAAAAGCAGAAATTAGGAAATAAAATCTTCACGGAATTGCTTATTCATTCTCGTAGATGTTAAGCAGATTGTTCGTTGTCATTCTAGTGCAGTGGTATCCACGTTCGTTTGCTCTATTATCCCTTTCGATGCTCCGGCAAGCCGTCATCACTCCTCTCCAGCCACAATAATTTACTATTTCCTCGCATAACGTTAGAACTAATTTCCCGACACCTTCCTTATGCCCCAAATTACCCAATAATGGGTAATTTTCCCTCCTCTTCCTGTGGGGACCCCTGTTCTAGTGGCTCATATTTAAAATTTGGTTTTTTAACAAATGTCTCATGCAATTTTACGATGGAATATCTGAAACTATCATCCAGCACGTTTAGAGTGTTATAATTATGTTGGTCCAAGTTTTATTAGATGATATTCAATGAATTGTTTGCTGTTCAGTGAACTGGTATGCAGTTCATTTAACGAACAATGAACTGTTTGATGCTGAAGAATTTCTGTCTGAAGCATTGCTCGTAATGTATAGGTGTTTGTATAGTCTTATCTCATCTTTTGATTGGTTGTTTTGAACGTTCGATTAATGGGTGCGTATTCATTCTAGACTATCGTATATTCAATATTTGTGATTCAGTTTCATGTGCATCATTTTTGATGTGTTTATTATTTGATTTTAATTGATTTGTAGATTTTCCTAAAACAGAAATAAATGAAATAATAGCATTTACAATTGGTATTGAATGCTGACGAGAGCAATTTTGTCGCATTATCTTTGATAGTTTTGTCAATTCTGACCGGGTCACGAATTCTCTTCCTCAATATGATCGCATGCTACCGTGTGAGATTCATACTCGGGAAATTCACTACTGTACACAATTCATTTAACGGATGTACGATTGGGTTGGAAAAGAAGTCTCATGTGCAAAAAACAACGTGGTACTTTCGAATTTGACTCATTTCTTACTTGATGCCGTTAACTTTGTTGGAGATAAATTCTGT